AAACCCTAGGCGAAATGAAAGAAATTCAAGTATGCTCTTTGAACCATAATCCTTGAGAGTAAGACAGTAAGTCTACTTCTTTGAAACACTTAAATTGAAGGAAAATAAATAAAAATGATTTATAAAGTACATATTAAAAACCAATGATATAACCATACTTGGAGAAATAGTTATCATAATTGTACTTATTAGGAAAAACAAACAGGATTAAAAAATAAGTGAACTAATCTTTGAAATCAAAGCACTAGATACAACTGAGAAAATAAACTCAAAGAATGTGTTGTTATAGAATTAATAAGGATAAAAGTAAGAAATGATTGCAAAGAATTAAAGAATAAGTAAAGGTGTGGTGTAACTGCTCTACAAAATCCAAAGCTGTTCTTTGCAAAGGTCTTTTGTTCTGGTTTTGTGTTCCAGGGCTGTTTCCCCCTGGGCCTTGCTGGTTCACCTTTTAGCCTCCATCAGTCTCAGGTATTAATAAGAAAGTCCAGAGTACATCCATCTCTATCACTCCTCAGAGGCTCTGACTACTGAACCTGACTTACTATGCTTGGAACAGGTGGTGTTTATCAGCTTATCTTGTTGAAGTCAACAGGTTAGGAAATTTGAACACAATCTACGGAATGGTCCACACTAGGGGTTGTGTAAAAACCCTAGCTGTCTGGGCCCTTTGTGAATGCACTGTCACAAATCTGGTATTGGGCCTGGGCACTTGCTTGTCAGTAACATGTTTGCTGTGCAGGCAGTAGGATCTGAGTTCAGACCCCTAGAACCTATGTCAAAAGGTGGGCATGTAGATCTGTAATCCCAGTGCTGGGAAGGGGGTGGAGACTGGTGGATCTCTGGGGACGGGAGCTTGCTGATCATCCCCCCTTATTGAATTGGCGAGCTTCAGGTCCAATGAGAGAACCTGCCTCAAAAAAATAAGGTGGAAAGCAACAGGCGAAGACACTCAACATGGCTCCATACACATAAGGACACATGGACATACACACCCTCACACACGTACAAAATTCACATCCCCCATCTGGAATTGGCTGGATCTGGGTGTTGCCGTGCATATTTTATGATCCTAGCTCTCACGAGGGTTCAAGTTCAAGGCTACTCTGGATTGCATAGTAAACACACTGTTTTTTAAAAAAAATTTAAAAACTTGTTTCTTCCTTTAGGGGGAAATCCTTTTGTGAATGAGCTCTGAGAATGGAATGTGATTGTACATACACCTCAGAGTAGTGAAGCTGTGCCCGCATGATCACACTTGTGTCCGTGAGGTGAGCACTCTCGCTTCTGTTCGCACCCTATATAATTTGTGTCTCACTTCTAGTGCATTCTCTGTAAACAGGAGGTCTTAGGAAGATTTGGGTGGGTCACTTTTGCCTACGTGGTCACATTCCCAGCCCTTTTCGGCACCATAGAACAACCCCTACCTAGTGTGTGCCATTCCAGAGATTGTGTTCAAATTTCCTAACCTGTTGGCTTCAACAAGGTAAGCTGATAAACGCCCCCTGTTCCAAGCATAGTAAGTAAGGTGCAGTAGTCAGAGCCTCTGAGGAGTGATAGAGATGGATGTACACTGGACTTTCTTATCAATACCTGAGACTGATGGAGGCTGAAAAGTCAACAAACAGGGCACAGAGGTAAACAGCCATTGAGGCAGGTTTTGGGAAGAGATGCTCATACTTGTCTCTGTTAAACGGTGGGAGCCGGCCTAGCACATTTAACTGTGTAACCCTAAAGGGTCCTTTGTCCAGCAACTGATTCACAAGGTCCCTGCTGGCCAGCTGAGTCCTGTTATGCAATGCTATCCATTAGTCTCAGGTGAATGCTTCTTGCAGGTGGAGGTTGATACTCTGAATAGCACGGGAAGCTGGGATGGCTTGGTTGCTTTCTGTCTACTTGCTGACAAATATTTACATATGTAGCTGAGTTGGGTGTGAAATTTTACTTCACTAAAACCTTTCAGAGAGCTTAGGGGATCAATTTCTCTTCTAATCACACATGATCTGCGACATCAAGATCTAACAAAAAGACCCTGACAGTGTGCATGTAAAATATTCAGTCCAAATTCCAATGCCCGTGGTAAGGAAGACCGTGGCTGCAGGTGCTATCTTAGACTGTGATCGGCTATTGGGCTACAGTTATTTGGGGAATGTTTAGTCATGTGATTGGGCATGAGCTTGCATTAGATACTTGTCTCTTTGCTGAGACAAAATACTTGAGAAACGCAACTTGAGGAAGGAAGGGCTTCTTTTGCCTTACAGTTCCAGGTAAGATTTATCAGGGACGGTGGCAGCGGAGGCAGGAAGAGCCTGTGCACATTGTGTCCACAGTCAGGAATCAGAGAATGACTGCTTGGGCTTGTCTATTCGCCTCCTTTTATCCAGTCCTAGATCCTAACCCATGGAACAGCACCACCCACATTTAAGGTGCGTCTTCCAGTCTTAATTAACCTCATCTAGATTAATTCCTCACAGGCATTCCCAGGTAACTGTTCCCATGGTGATTTTAAATCGTATTGAGCTGACAGTCAAGATTAAGCAAAATATGGAGCTTAATAATACTGGAAGTTTATATAACAAATAATACCAATAAGATCATATAATACTGAACTGGAGTTGCTGATAGTTATAAGATGCCATGTGGGTACTGGGAATCGAACCACCGTCCCCTGGAAGAGCAGCCAGTGCTTTTAACCACTGTGCCATCTCTCTCACCCAGTGATTTTCAACCTGTGGGTTGCAACCCATTTGGAGTTGACGGATCCTTTCATGGGTTGCCTAAGACCGCTGGAAAACACAGATATTTACACTGATTCATAACAGTAGCAAAATTACAGTTATGAAGTAGTAATGAAAATAATTTTATGGATGGGGGTCACCACACCACGAGAAACTATATTAAAGGGTTGCAGCATTAGGAAGGTGGAGAAGCACTGCTCTAACCCCATTGGTGTCAGATTCTTACAAAGGTAGCTTCATATTACTTGGAGTTGCTCACAGCAGCTGTGTTAGTTCAGTTGCCCTTCAGAAGCAGACTTTGAGATGAAGAGTTCAGCATGTGTCTGCCTGGGAAGTTGCTTGAAGGTATAAGCAGTGGGAAGACTTGAGGGGAGAAGTAAAAGGAACATTGAAGAATGCTTTACATTGGGACAGTTAGTCCCATTGCAGCCCTTCTGAGGCACTGGCTAGAATATGCTGAACAGTTCTACCCAGGGACATGAAAGCTGATTCATCCATCAGCTTCTAGGCCTTGTTGGCTCAAGAGTCAAGCAAAGTCTTGAGTCTACAGGCAGAAAGAAATGCAAGTATTTGGGATGAAAGTCTTTGCTGTGTCCAGGCACTGTCTCCTTAAGCTGTAAGTGACCTGCCCCCAAGTAGACGTCTGACCGTCTGTGGGTTCTAACCACCAGCAAGAAAGATTGGCTGCTTATAGCAGAAGAGTTTCCCCAGTACCATGGTGGTATTCAAGGTCTTCCTCCTGCCAGGTTTGTATAGGAGAGCCAGGGACTTATTGGAACTCTCTACAGTGTCAGACATATAAGAATAAATATATATTATAAAGGAGATTTATGATATTGGCTTACATGATAAGGGCTGGGTACCTGCTGCTGGGGAGGCTGAGACCCCAGAGGCTGGTTAGTCTATTAAATTGATGCCTCAGCAATACTCACATGGTGCCAAGGACTAGAGGATTTCTGGAGACCTGCTGGTCTTCAGTTCACCTTGGGAGACTGAAGAGAATGGGTTCTGGTGTCAGGAAAGGATGACAGACAGCTACAGGTGCAGCAGGATATGGACGTGCTCACTAGCAAGAAGGGTCAGTAAGCAAGCACGTGGCCTTAGTTTGTCCTCAGACCGCTTTACATCTGGGCTGCTGCTAGGAGGTTCCACCCAGGCTGGGGATCATCTCTCCTCAGTTAACCCTTCCCAGAACTTCCCTCAAAGACTAGTCCAGAGGCATGCCCCTTAGTTGATTCCAGATACAACCAGGTTAGCAGCCAAGATTAATCATCATAGGGCGGTACTCTACTCCACCCCACTCTAGGATAGCCAGTCTTGTCTTGGATGGTAATGGGAACTGGACTCCCAGATGTGGATGGTCCCAGAGAGAAATAACTGTGAAGCTATTGCTCCTACTTTCTGACTATCCTTTCCCTGACTTTGAGTGCATCATGATCTCTGCTTTCCTCCATTGTGAAAAGCCACTCAGATGGTTCCAGAACTTTCCTTGAACTTATAAGGCATCCTGGGGCACCACAAGATCCCAGTTGTTGCTATTGCTATTCTTCCACACAGAGGAGAGTAACAGTGTTTACAGGGAACCACTCTCTGCCCCCTGTGCCTGTGCTTTTTTAGTATTTGGCAGTTCTTATCATAGCGGGCACTGACCCCAGGCTGCTGAGGGCATGCTTGCAGCTTTAAAAACTCAAAATAAAATGAATGCCTTCACAGACCCTGAGAGCTCTCCCCACTGGCTGGGGCCAAATTATTTAAGTGAACATCAGCTTCTCTATCATAAAGAACTGAATACTAAATCTACCTAATGATAACCATTTGTCTCTCCCTCCACACACTGTTTGGCAAGCCTGGCCTCCTTCAATCAGTACATTTCACTCATTTCTGGTTGCATTCTTCTCATCATATTTCAATACAGAGGTTAGTTTTTCTGCCCTGGAGCTAACTAGTTTCATCTGATATTTACACAGCATTAAACTTTTTTTTTTCAAGATAAATGCAACGAGAATACCCAGTCGGTGTGATGAAGTACTTCTTTTCTGTGTAAGTTTGTGCCATATTTGTTTCCTTTCTCTACCTTTTTCTAAAGGTGATAAAAGAAAACCCAAATCTTATAATATCTGTCAGTATAAAAGAACATGAGCTCCACAGGAAAGGTAAGCGAGGAAAAAAATCATTTGTCAGCCCTCAGGACAGTCTAAAGAAAGTATATGGCTTCATTTCTATCGAAGAAACGCTTTGAATAGATGAAAAAAAAATTCCTACCTTGGCATAATGTGTTCCCTTTGTAGCTGGCAGCTTGGGTTTTCTGCACCAGGGACCTGAAGGGTTGTCAATGTTAGCAAAAATAAGTTTTCCTGATAATGGATTTTGGTGCACTATATGCAAGCATGTGCTATTCCTACTGCTTGCTTAAAAAGAGACTAGAGTATGGAATGCATTATACAGTAGAGCCAAAAATAACATCTGTCTCGCAAAGGAGGGGAACGATTTCATTTCATATCGTTCCTTATTTGACGGCCTCTTCCCCCCGCCCTGCCTCTACTGGAGAATTATAGTTTTGTATAGTTTACAGAAATAACATTTAAACATGGCATGTGATTTTAGACTCTAATGGGATCTACTTAATAAAACACACAAGCAATTAGAGAACTCCATTGTAATCACTACTGACGCCCCAGAAGGTTCCCATCGGTGGGGCCCACTTGCTGCCTTCCTAGCCTCGCTCATTTGAGGAGCTTAGACAAGGAAATCACTGCTGCCCACATTGTGGATATGGATCACCCTTACCTAGCCAGGCACATGTTTTTGAACTTCATACTGCTACTGCTTGGGCAGATTGCTCATTTCATAGGATGAAAGTTATATTCACCAGGGAATTAAGGGTTTGATAGACACACCCATTAAGCTTGTCTGGCAGCTCATCCTAGAAATGTTGGGGAAAGGAAAAGAGTGAGAAAGAAAGAAACCCTAGCTTTCTGTTTTTCATTGTATGCAGCTGGGGAGTTACCTGTTTCAACGGGAGGCTAAGCCCACCTGCTTATAGCTTCTCATCCTTCCAAGTGTTTGAACTCTTCTGTAAGACCAAACATGATTAAGTGAAGGTGGCTGTTTTGGCCATGGTTTCATGACAGCCATACTATTGTTGTTAGGACTTGCCTTTTTCTTGAATCTCGTTCTGTGCTTCAGCTGTTTTGATCAGATGGGCTCCATATTTCAGGGGGATCTAGGATTCCCTGATGTTATGGAAGTGCTTGTTAAACCACTAGTTCTTAATGATCACAGTTTCATTGACCTTACCTATTGGTTGAGTCATCTCTTGGATGCCAAAGAAGAGTCAATTTGGCTAAATCAATAATTTGCCATCTAAGTGGTTGTGGTGGTCTGTAAAGGGCAATGCTGAGGCAATAGAGATGACTCGGTGTTTTTGGTGTTAATGGTGTTGGTTTTGGAGTTGATGGCAATAGAGGGAGAAGTGGTGATGGAGGTAGCATTGGGGGTTGAGAGCAGTAGTAAAGGTGATGTTGATAGTGGAGCTGATAGGGATGGAGATGTTAATTGAGGTGACAATAACGGTGGTGGGGAAAGTGATGTGCGGCAGTGAAACAGTCTTTGCAGCAGGCTCAGTATTTGTGGAGGGAGTTGCCTGTAAGAGGCATTGAAGTCCACACTAATGTGGTGAACAAGTTTCTACTGTCTGAAGTGTAGTCTATAGACTGGTAACACAAGTTATCATTTAGGATTTGATACATAAAGACTCAGGCTCTATCTTACTACACCCAAATAAAAAACACATTCAAATAATATTGTCAAGTTACTTGTGTGCATAATATATTCTCAGAAACACTAGTTTAGAGGATTAACAGTCAAGAACACCTGTCCTTTTGTGTCCCAATATTTTTGCCCATCTCTTCTGCAAGAGGGAGGAGTAGACATTACCTACATATAAGATAAAGTAGGTTATCTCAGTTACTTTTCTGTTACTACGATAGTTCACAGTTTATATTAGAGCCCATTATAGTGGGGAAGTTAGGACAGTGGGAGCTTGAGGGAGCTGGTTGTATATACAGTCAAGTAACAGAAAGCAAGGAATGGCACTACTCATCTCATTTTCTCCATTTATATAATTCGGGATTCCAGCCCAGGGAATGGTGCCCCCCACAATGGACCGGTCTTCTCACCTCAACTAACCTATACCACAATCCCTGACACCCTGCTTCCCAGTGACTCTAGATCTCGTCCATCTGACAATTGGGATTAACCACCACAGTTGATGAGTAGATGGCTATTTGACCCGAATTCCAGGCTCTAGAGTCAGGTTTAAATAGGGATGTTAAAGAGAGGTCTTCATGTTCTGAAATTTGTAATTTCCCATCTAACCTTTCGAGATCTCTCTAGTGCCTGGAGTTCCCACTCTCTTCACTCTGTCAACTTTTTGTTCCTGTTCCCCCTCTTCCTCATTCTCCTCCTCCTCTTCCTCATTCTCCTCCCTCATTATTATCTTTGTTACTGTTGAGGCAGTCTTGCTGAGTAGCCCAGGGTGGACTTGAATTCATCATCTTTCTGCCTTAGTCTCCTGAGTGCTGGAAGGCAGGCATTTGCTGTCATGCCTGGTATCTTCTCTTTTTACAAGAAGCCTCATCTTTTAAAGGTATAAGATATTTTAGTACTATATCAACTATCAACGTACTGACTGTGTTATCTGGTTAATAGATTAGCACACTAAGATTCTTAGGGCTGAGATATTCCCCCTTGGGAAAGACGCCTTGTCTCTGCTCTCCTACTATCAGTGAAGTTGCCCCGGCTGAGACCTGATGATGTGCTTCTCAATATCTCATGCACATGGCTGGTGGGTTGGTGCCCTGCTGTGGCTAACAGTTCATTCTGTTAACCAGCCCTGTTCCTCTCCATGTGGGCCCTTTCTTTGGGTTTCCTCAGAACATGAGTCAGGGTTCTGGGAGATCGGAGCAGGAGGTGGAAGGCTCCTTTTGATCTGGATTTCTTCTGAAGCCCCAGATGCCACTTCATTTTGATGATCTTTCTCTTATGTGCTGTTCCCTTTCACATATATATCCCGGGGCCTGGCACATTTTTATTTTTTGGTAACACTAGTGTGATGGTAGCCAAATTATTCTTAACTTTGTTTTTCTATGAGAGATTTATGTTTTGTATTTTTTATTTTGCATTTTTTGAGACAATTTTTTTTTGAGTCTCATACCGGTTGAGGCTGGTCTGGAACTCACTATGTAGCTCAGGATAAACTCATATAAATCCTCCTGTCCTGGCCTCTTGAGCACTGAGATAACAGACATAGTTACTCTGCCCTTCTTTGTATGCGATTTTTTTAAAACTTGGAACAAAATGGGCGGCGATGGCCCGGTACAGAGGGGCTCCAGGGGGCCACTAGGGCTGCTTGCTTGCCTGCAGTTTCCTTTTGCTAAGGAGTGTGTCTATCCTGTTGCCGCTGCTGCATCTATCCTTCCCTGAAATCAGAACCCAGCCCCTTCAGTCTTCCAGTGTGGAGCGAAGGCAGGAATCCTTCAGACCTTCTGTGCCAGAGTGGGACTGCAGAGGGGTCCAGTGCCGTAGACGGAGCAGCTTCTGGGTTCTCAGCTTCTCCATCAGCCAATAGATGGAGTAGCTCCTGGGTTCTCAGCTTCTCCATCAGCCAATGGACACATTGGACTACCTAGTCCAGTAGGCAACAGCTTATGCAATAGCACAAGCCAATCTTATAAATTTCCTTTATAATAGATATTCATTCTATCTGTCTTGTTCCAAATCATCAGATTGCTCAGATAAACCAAAATGAGAGAGAGAAAAAAAGACCTTTATACAAACAATAAAGAAATAAGCTCGGCCACTGCAGACTGTCAAATATAAGATGGGACTATGAAGAGTAAGTTAATTGGCAGTCAGATTGAGGTTAAAAAGATTAGATTCCAACTGATCAAACAGCACTTGATCTCACAAAGAAGCTGCACAGGAAAATGGTGAGCAACGTCAGGGCTGGGTGATAGTCCCCTTGGTGGGTGGAAGCATTCTCCAAGTTAAACTTCTACCTGGGCCTCTCCCAGCATGTAAGTCTTTAATACCCTTCTATCCCATACCTAGGCTTTCCAAGCTCCCCTTGACTGGACCACACTGTAATGGTCCCACCACACACCCACACATTTCCCTAACAGTTTTGGTCTCTTTCAGTTGTTTTCAAGACCCCATTTTAGCAACTTCATCTTGCTCTCTTGTCTTTGCTTGTGCTGGTCTCTGGACAGAGAAGCTCTCCTTGACTCATCTACCTGATCAAACTGTGTGATGTTTATTTTTGGTCGTCAGCTTGATTATATCTGGGATTAACTAAAATTCAAAAATGGAGGACATACCAGTGAGGGATTGTTTTGCTTAATTTGAAGTGGGAAGATCCACTTCTAATCTGATCTTGAGCAAGGAAGACACAGCTTTGTAGATGAATTTCTAAATGGTCTTATTAAATAAAAAAACACAGAGCCAGATATAGGGGTGAAAGCCTTAGAGAGATCAGGGAAATAGGGAAAGCCACCAGCCAACCTTACCTCACCAACTCTGCAGCTTCCAAAATGCCACAACTTCCTGTCTACCCACGCCTATATGCCTTGCTGTTCTGCCATCTGATTTGCTCTCTCTGTCCAGCTACATCACTTCCTCTTCCTACCCAGCTCTGTCAATTTCTGTCTGTCTGTACAGACCTCCAGACCTCCATGGTTAACTAGTTTTGGAATTTAAGGCGTGTGCCACCACACCTGGCTCTGTTTCCAGTGTGGCCTTGAACACACAGAGATCCTGCGTGCCAAGTGATAGGATTAAGGGTGTGTGCTGCCACTGCCTGACTTCTTCGTTTACTTATAGTGGCTGGCCTTTTTCCTCTGATCTCCAGGCAAGCTTTATTTATTAACGCACAAATAAAACATCACCACATTTCAGCACAAATGAAATATCACCACACACCTTTAATCTGGGCCACACCTCAGCTGGAAGCCTATATAAGGATGTGGGAGAAGAAAGCTTTGTTCTTTGCCTGCCTGCCCTTGCCTCACTAGCAAGTCCAATCCTTCACTGGCCTTAGAACCCAGTTCTTTGGAATTCCAGTGTCTATTGAAGATCAGCTGAGACACCCAGCCTCATGGATTGAGCAACTGTTAGATTCTTGTGTTTTCCATTAGTAACCAGCCACTGTTGGACTAGCTGAACCGAAGCCTATAAATTATTCTAATAAGTCTCCTTCCCCCCATTCTCTCTCTCCATATATATATTCATTCTGTAAGTTCCATTATTCTAGAGAACGATG